AAAGAACACAAAGCAGGGTTTTTAAGAGGTACATGCACACTACGTTGATAGCACCATTACTTCAATAGTCAAGAGATGGAACCATCCCAAATGTCTACCAGTGGATACATGGATAAATAAAACACGGTATATATATACATACGATAAAACATTATTCAGCTCTAAAAAGGAAGAAAATCTGTCACATGCTGCAACATGAATGAACATGGAGGACATTATGCTATGTGAAATAAATCAGTCAAGAAGAGACAAATATTAAGGTATTTAAAGTAGTCAAATTCATAGAAATAGAAAGTAGTGTGATGGTTCCTCCCCAGGAGCAGGCGAGGAGATAGGAATAGGAACTGTTTGATGGATAGAGAGTTTTACTTCCACCAGACATAAAAGTTCTAGAACTTTATTTCACAACAATGTGAATGTATTTAATAATACTGAACTGTATGTTTTAAAATGGTTATTATGTTCACTTTTATGTTATGTTTTTTACCGTGATAAAAAAATAGTAATAATTTGTGAATTTTGACTCTTCATTAACAGATAACTCAGGCCTAGGCAACATGTCTTTCTCAGCAAATCACAGATGGGTATGTAAAGTCCTTAGCAATTGAGAGGATACATTCTCTAGCACAGAGCTGAAAAGGAAAGTTGGTGCCAATGAATGCATCTTTGAGGAAATAAAATTTAAATCACTACCCCCAAATCAGTGTCTGTCTGAGACTGGGCCTATGTCCAAGCAGCATACAGGACTATCTCATGGATAAAATTAGAGAAACAACACAAGTCTGTCTCAGAATAATTTTCAATTCTCAAATTTTAAGATTTTGGAGTTTGTGTCTATAAATTCCAATTTTTCTCCAGGTGGGAAAATGCATTACTGTCATCATAGGAATGAAGGAGTATGCGACTGGGGGATGAGGTGTCATAAGAGAGTAGCCATGGAATTTAGGTCCATTTTGATCCTGAGCAAACAGGCAAAGACATGAGAAAACTGAATAACCAAGAGAGGGTAACTGTCCCTTTCTGCCACCCACTGGTTCCACTTTCAGAAGAGTTCCCTTCAGACACTTCTGTGCTAAACCATCCTGTATTCCCCCTGATCACATTCAACTTGTGGATGCATAGACATTACTCACCTCTCAAATCTATACCATTCCCATTCTCCCCATTACCTACAGAAAATCTGCACTTGAGTGTAACAACCATGCAATGGAGCCAAAATGGAACTCAACACCTTTGTCATAAAGTGAAATTTCCTTTTAACTGGCCTATTTCTAATCCTGCTGATTGGTCTTCTAAACTTTTGGTGTGAAACATTTGGAATTAGTTTCGAGAGATTCCTTTTGGTA